GATAAAAAATTTCAATACTTTATTCTAAAAAAATTGGATATGCAAATTTTATTAATTTGTCCATTTCTAATTATAAGGAAACTAAATTTAACAATTTTCTCAAATAAGCACATACATCCGCCCCTTAATAGACCTGCTAACCTGCAAACAATTATAATGATCTTGCGCTGACACCAACACTAAAAGGATGGTTGAAATCTTTATGAAATCCATCTTTCTTCCTACACTTTGAAAACCAACATTACTAACCGTTTGATCATCGACTATAACTCTATGTTCAAATCAGAAGAGATAAAACCGTTCGAACCTGACATAACCATATTGTTGTGTGGTGTTTGATTACTTTGAATTTTGAAACCGGATATCAATTATTTGTAAGATTTTTTCCACTACATTTTTATTTCTTTGAAGCCCTTCAACAATATGGGTATCTGTCTATTTTCAATAAACAAAAGTGGAATCTTCCTCTGCAACTAGTTGGTTTGTGCAGGGCCCATGAATTTATTTTGCAATTACTATCGACATGACTATAAGCATACTCTTAAAATTTACATTTTTTAATATTTGTTATTAGAGACTCATTTTTTCAATACTTGTTATTATGAAGAAAATTTATTTTTTCAACACTTATTATTAGGAACAATTACATAAATAACGGTATGTAACCAGAACAATAACTGTTATGCAGTGGTAACGACATAGTCCAAATTGTTATATCTACAATTATCATGTCCACAATAGTATATGTTACTCCTATTAAAAATCAACAACCACGATACTTGTAGTGACTACAATATCATCTATTATGTTCACAATAGCAAAAAAACACAACTAAATCAATGAAATAAATACAAATTGTAATTTAAATCTCTAAGTTTTTTAGTTTCCTCAGGGTCCCCATAATCCTACGACGAGGTATGTCAGGCTGAAAAGATGGCATAAAAGCATTTCGAGTGGCTTCATTCTCCCATTCTAGCTGTTCCCACCAATCTTGGCTTCCTTCAATGGTGATGTGATTTTCTTTCGCGCTGTCAGAGTTGAGAGGAAGCTTCTTCAGTTTTGGGCAATCATCTATACAAATACGTTTCAGACATGGGAGGGGCAGGGCATCCCAGTACATGCTCTTCAATTCTGGTAGATCGATGAAAAAAAGAGTTTCAAGCTTCAGAAATGGTGTCGGGTACGGAATTCCCACAACATTTGCAACTTCTCCAAGTCTTCCCTCGCTCAGCATTTCTTCCATTTTTGCACACCTAGTTATCCAAAGAGACCTTAGATTTGGAGCAAGAAACAACCAGGTAACGTCCTTCAATTTGTAACAGCTAGAAATTCTAACTTCCCTCAATGTGTGGAAGCGTGAAGTATAATCAGTAATAACAGAAACCCCGCTATGCTGTCTTCCTGTTCCCATTTTCATTTCCTCCATGTTTTCACATCCCATGATATCTAATCTCTCTAGACCTTCCACGTTTTCTAAACATAAAACATTGAACACATTTGTCTCCCAAAAAGACCACAAATTTAGTGCTTCAGTGCAGCATCGAAGGCTTAGAAATCTTTGTAGAGCAGACATACTTTGTATTGGTGGTATCCTTAGTATATTAAGATGTTGCAGACTTTTCAATTCCTCTATAAGCTGTTCATTATCATCCCTATCCAGAACATTGTCTTCCTCTGGATAACTTCCTGTTGCCAGATACCCCAACCTGAATATTTGCAACTTGGAAAAACTAGATATCAAATTCTGTGGGATTCTTCTGAGATGCTGCATGTTACTCAAGTCCAACATTTTCAGTTTTGTCAAAGATTTCAACTCCATTGGCAACTCTTTTATACCGGTCCGCGATAGATCAAGACATTCTAGAGAAATCAATTGCGAAATTCCCTTTGGTAGTGCTTTTAAATCTATGTTAAATGACAAATCCAAAACAGTTAGATGAGGCATAAACTGAAAGAAGCCATCATTGATCACCTGCAGCTTATTTTGGCTAAGAAACAAAGTTCGAAGGCTAGGGCATTTAGGGGTTCCTCTCAGAACTTTAATCTGATTTTTCATCACCGACATTCTTTTTGCACCTTCCCATGCCTTAAGATCTGGCTCCTCTAGTAATTGAGCCCCTGCTTTTACGAAGAAACTCTTCTCTTTCTCTTCAAGCTCGCATGCTATCCACAAACCCATGTCACGGATCACATCATGCATCTTCACATATTCTTTTCTATTGGATGATTCTTCCACTCTTTCCAATAAAGAAGCCCTAAGAAGAGAGTTGATAATGTGATCTCCTTCCATTTGGGCTTCACTAATTTTATCTGATTCAAATAGTCCTTCACAAAACCAATACTCGACCAATGTCTTGATGGGAATATGATAATCTTCAGGATACAGAGAACAATATAGGAGGCAACATTTCATTGTAGGAGGCAGATAATCATAACTGAATTTTAAAAGCGGATATACCTCATTTTCCATTTTGGGTAAGATCGATCGCTTCAACTTCTTGATTGCATAATTCCATTCCCCAGGTGTCGTCTTGCAAGTCATGGCACGTCCGATTGTAATCAGTGCAAGAGGCAGCCCACAACACTCTTTGGCTACTTGTTGAGCTAGTTTCGGAATATCTGGATGGCTATTGAGGGTTTCATCTCCAACCTTGTCTTGGAACAATTTCCAAGCCTCTTCTGGTTTAAGACACTCCACTTTAATTTTCTTTCGAGCTTCCATTTCACCACAAACCTCCAACGACCGAGTAGTTAAAATAAGTTTGGAACCATTTTCTTGGCTTGGTTTTGGAATCCCAACTTTGTTCAAATCCACCCTCTCCCATAAATCATCCAATAATACAACGAATTTTTTGTTGCCCAAGACCCCAAAAATATCCTCAGCTTTCTGCTCAATGCTTCTATTCTTCCACGATTCATCGGAGAAACCAATTTTTCCACCTATGCTATCTTGGATCATCCCAACATTGTAATCTTTAGACACCAAAGCCCAAATTACAATATCGAAACCCTCCGGTGTGGTGCTGAACTTGTTGTTGATTTGAGTTAAGAGTGTTGTCTTTCCGACGCCTCCTATGCCGTAGAGGCCAATGATCCCCACTTCTTTGTCCACGATGCAGCTCCATACCTTGTCCATTGTGGATTCAAGAGCAACTGGACGCTCCTCAGGTCTTACTACCACTGAAGCTGCGGGCTGAGTCTCTGCTACCTTGTTAAAAATTCCTTTACCAGTGTGATCCTTTATGTCTTGAAACATTTTGGCCACCCTTTTCCCAAACTTGTAGGTAAACAGGCAATTCTTGGAAAGACAGCCGCCGAGACACAAGTTATTTATTTGTTGAGGGCCATCTGCAATCAGTTTTTCAGCCTCTGTTATCATAGTTTCTGCTTTTGAAAGCCATAGCTGAACTTCATCGAGACGCTTCAGTTGTCGTTGTTCATCCAGATCAACCTTCCTTTGCACGTCATTCCTTCGTGCCTTAAGTTCATCAAGAGCAGCAGATAAAGCAGGAAGAGTTTGTTTAAGCTTGCACACGTAATTAGCCTGTCCAACAATGGAATCCCAGCCTCGGATGAGGATATTCTGGAAACTAAATTGTACAGAGAAGCAATTTCCCATGGTTCTGGTAAATAAAACAAAGGAAACCAATGAGATAATTATTAAAAACATATATTACAGTGCCTCACATTACCTTATACCTAGTTTGGTTTAGGACAACATGCCTATATATAGCCAATTAGATGAAAATAAGGAATGGATGAAGGAAAAGTGAGTTTACCCCAGCAGGATTTGAAGGCGTGGACCAAGTCTGGGCTAATTGAAGGATTCTTTTTCCTCACACAACTGATTCACCTCTACGATCTGCTTTTTTTTCCTGGTGTTGTTGACTGTCATCAATCGGCGTTGATCACTCCGCCTCTTTATCTTCCACTTCTTCTCTGTTTGGATCTCCTACGGTCAACCCTTTCTTGGTGCTTGTTCTTCAGTGTTTTAAGGGTCAATGGGTGTATGAAGAGCTGCCAAAGTAGTAGGTGATGGTCACATGGTGGGTTCATGACCCCACAAATTATTTATTGTTTACAGTAATTCAAGAGGCAAAATACGATTAACGTATCACATGATGTTGTCTTTCAAATCTGCCTTCTACTTCTTTGAAATCAAGTATAGTGTCATAACATTTTTTAGAAAAAAATAATTAAATATTTTTTTTAAAACGATTATGACTTTTATTTTAGAAAATTAGATGGTTTTGAATTGATTTATATAAAATTGAAAGGAGTCGCCATCGATATTTGGGTTAAGTAAGTCGAATTTCTAAAAACGTTTTTTAAATAATTTTAAGAAAAATCATTTTATAAGACAAAATTGGTTTGCGTCATCAAAGATTCGATTAAAACGGATTCGGGAGTCGGTTACGTGTGAGGAAGGGTCAGCACCCCCACATCGCCCAAAATTGATACTAAAATCACTTACATGTTGTCGTAATGGTGGAAATGATGAATCGAATATAAAGTTAATTTATGATCCATTTGTTGAACATTAATTAATTTACTTCAAATTAATTAATTAGAGAAAATTCTTTAACTCGATAAAAATCTTGAAATTAGCAATCCTCATTCGGGAAAGCTATTTCAACTATTTTTTATCATTAAAAGAATATTCCCTCATAATTGATTGTAAAAAATGCGAATCGAATATAAAAATGAAAATCGATCTTTGCATAAAATAAAACGCTATTTAGTAATATGCATCACATTGTTCGAATTAAAATACGAGATGAATTAATTAACAAAATAAAGTTGATTTATTTCAAGTTCACATTTTGTTAAAATGCCTTATCGGGTCGCATCACTTCGACCAAGTGAAGTTTTCCACGTTCATTCTACAAATCGGTGTTCTTGAAAAACATTCGAATAATATTAATATATAAAGAAATAAAATAGAAACAAATATGATTACAAATGACAAATAAAATATTTATAACATAAAATAATAACATTTATTTATAACCTGAAATTTCAACTACCCTCAATGTGTGGAAGCGTGAAGTATAATCAGTAATAACAGAAACCCCGCTATGCTGTCTTCCCATTCCCATTTTCATCTCCTCCATATTTTCACAATCAAAGATGCATAATCTCTCCAGACGCTCCATGTTTTCTAAACATAAAACATCAAACACATTAGTCTCCCTAAAACCGCTCAACTCTAGTGCTTCGGTGCAGCATCGAAGCAAGTGTAGGCTTAGAAAACTTTGTAGAGCAGGCATGGTTTTTATTGGAGGTATCCTTAGTATATTCAGATGTTGCAGACTTTTCAGTTCCTCTATAAGCGTTTCATTATCATCCCCATCGACAACATTGCCTTCCTCTGGATAATCTCTTGTTGCCTGAGTCCCCAACCTGAATATTTGCAACTTAGAAAAACTAGATATCAAATTCTGTGGGATTCTTCTGAGTCTCAACATTTCACTCATGTCAAACATTTTCAGTTTTGTCAAAGATTTCAACTCCATTGGCAACTCTGTTATACCACTATAAGATAGATTAAGACATTCTAGAGAAGTCAATTGTGAAATTTCTTTTGGTAGTGCTTCTAATTCACCGTTCCACGACAAATCCAAAACAGTTAGATGACGCATAAACTGAAAGAAGCCATCGTTAATCACCTGCAACCTATTTTCGCTAAGAAACAATGTTCCAAGGTTAGGGCATTTAAGTGTTTCTCTCAGAACTTCAATTTGATTTTGCATCACTGACACCCTTTTTGCACCTTCCCATGCCTTACCATCTGGCTCCTCTAGTAATTGAGCCCCTGCTTTTACAAAAAAAATATTTTCTTCTGCTTCAAGCTCGCATGCTATCCACAAACACATGTCACGGATCACATCATGCATCTTCACACATTCTTCACCATCTCTTTCCAATAAAGAGGCCCTAAGAAGAGAGTTGATAATGTGATCTCCTTCCATTTGGGCTTCACTAATTTTATCAGATTCAAACAGCCCTTCACAAAACCAATACTCCACTAATGTCTTTGTGGGAATAGGATAATCTTCAGGATACAGACAACAATATAGGAGGCAACATTTCATTGTGGGATCCAGATAATCATAACAGAATTTTAAAAGCGGATATACCTCATTTTCCATTTTGGGTAATCTGGATTGCTTCAACTTCTTGATTGCATAATTCCATTCCCCAGGTGTCGTCTTGCAAGCCATGGCACGTCCTATTGTAATCAGTGCAAGAGGCAGCCCACAACACTCTTTGGCTACTTGTTCAGCTAGTTTCAGAATATTTGGATGGCTAGTGAGGGTTTCATCTCCAACCTTGTCTTGGAACAATTTCCAAGCCTCCTCGAATTTCAGACAGCCCACCTTAATTTTATGCCGAGCTTCCATTTCGCCACAAACCTCAGACGACCGAGTGGTGAAAACAAGTTTGGAACCATTTTCTTGATTTGGTTTTGGAATCCCAACTTTATTCAAATCAACTCTCTCCCATAAATCATCCAATAATACAATGAACTTTCTGGTGCGCAGAACCCCATAAATATCCTCAGTTTTCTGCTCAAGGCTTCTATTTTTCCAGGATTCACCGAAAAAACCAATTTTCCCACCAATACTATTTTGGATCTTCTCAACATTGTAATCTTTAGACACCAGCGACCAGATTACAATGTCGAAACCCTCTGGTGTGGTGCTGAACTTGTTGTTGATTTGGGTCAAGAGAGTTGTCTTTCCGACGCCTCCTACGCCATAAAGGCCAATGATCCCCACATCTTTGTCCACAATGCAGCTCCATACCTTGTCGATTGTGGATTCAAGAGCAATTGGTCGCTCATCAGGTCTTACTACAACCGAAGCTGCGGGTTGAGTCTCTGCTACCTTCTCAAAAACCCCATTACGAGTGTGATCCTTTATCTGTTGAAGCGTTTTGGCCACCTTTTTCCCAAACTTGTAAGCAGGCAGGCAATTCTTGGAAACGCAGCCGCTGAGACACAAGTTATTCATTTGTTGAGGGCCATCTGCAATCAAATTTTCTGCCTCTGTTATCATAGTTTCTGCTTTTGAAAGCCATAGTTGAACTTCATGGAGTCGCTTCAGTTGTCGTTGTTCATCAAGATCAACCTTCCATTGCACGTCATCCCTTCGTGCCTTCAGTTCATCAAGAGCAGCAGATAAATTAGGAAGAGTTTGTTTAAGCTTGCACACATGATTAGCCTGTCCAACAGTGGAATCCCAGCCTCGGATGAGGATATTCTCGAAATTAAATTGTAATGAGAAGCAGTTGCCCATGATTCTGATGAGAGGATCTGGAGTTTGATGATTTGAGTAAAATTAAACACACACAAAAACAATCTAGAGATTGGTTTTTGTTATGGAGGAAAGTTGAAACAAAAACAACAAAGAAGAAATCAAAGTTGAACTAAAATGATGAGAAAGCTTCAAAAAAAAATTCTGGGATATAAATGAGAAGTTTTTGGTTTTGGTTTCGAAGGTGAGTACTGAGTAGGCAAAGGATTTGTGTTATAAAATTACTGCAAAATGCAGAGAAAACCCTTAAACTAACAGCAAATATGGAATCAGAATAGTGGGAATTGTGCTTTAGTAGTGGGTTGGTTAGAAAAGATGAACCTTCATTTAAAAATTGCAACTCCTTTGGAAGTGATTGGCTTGTGCATGGCCCATGCATTTCTTTTACCGATATGACATGATGCCAAGACGACTAAGAAAAAAAATGTCTTGGCACTTTACTTTTTCGAAATGTCGTAAAGCAGAGTTAATTGGCAATTTTATAAACAAAAGGTGCTTGACTGAGTAGAAACCAATAAAAATTTGCTCTCACACTTTCCTAGAAGCTTCAATAAATGCGTTTGATTACATTGAAGCAGAGAGTCTAAATTATTTGCAATATTTTTACTCAGAGGACAGAAGAGACAGTGTAAGATGGACTGAAGGATAACTCAGCTGTTAACCCTTCTTTGACCTTATAATGAATGCACTTCCATGGAAGATAGCTGCTTTAACGGAGGAAAAATAATGACATATTACTCTCCATGGATTTAAATTGCGATTGCGGCAGCATTTGCGGTTACATTTATCGCGATTGCAGACATAATGGACGCTATTTCCATTACGGGAATGGCGATTGTGTAAAAATGATTTCGGACGACACCATTACCGCCATATAACATCTATTTGGCTATTCCGATAGCGGACCGCTATCTAAATCCATGTTTCTATCTTGAAAATGATTACAAGGATGGTGCTCAAAGAAACAAAGGTCCGTTTCTCGCTCAACTACCGAGGCTGAGTACCGTAGTGTTGCGGATGCTGCCTCTGAGGTCGCGTGGCTGAAGACCTTGCTGTTAGACATGGGCGCTAAGTGCACAGGTGTACCAACAATATGGTGCGATAACTCGAGTGCTGTTGCTGTTGCTGTTAGTGCAAATCCGGTACTTCATGGGCGATCCAAACATGTTGAATTGGACGTACATTTCATTAGGGAGAAAGTGGCCGCTGGAACATTGGGAGTGAACTATGTGCCAACTGAAAAATCAGATTGCAGATGGGTTAATTAAGCCTCTCACCAAGCCTCGTTTGGTTATGTTTCGTTCATATGTTTATGTAGAAGAAGGTGTGGGAGAGGTAAAGAGTGGGGAAAATGTTAGTAAATGAGTATATTCCTGTTCCAGTTGAGAAGTCACCCATAAAAGAGGAGTATTCATTTGGACTCGGAAACTGCGATATCGAGGGAGAATCGATAAGTTACCAAGCCTGCTAAGATCTCTTCCTCTTGACATAGAATCTTATCTGTGCTTTGAGCTTCAATTTCCATGTAACCTCGACGAGGTTGATGCTAATACCATATGCAACAACCGAAGTAGCAAGATCCCTAGTGTTGGTGTTTGGCAGCTGGAAGTTGTTGGTCCTGGTGAACCTCCAGATTGTTGTGAAATTCGGGTTAATTTCCACCAATAACAGATTCACCGTGAAAACTATTATCTAGGTGACTAGTGTGAAAACGATTGTACTAAAAATCACCCCAAGGTAGATTCCCAGGAAAGAGGAGGGGTCACAATGGTCCCTCTTAAAACCCACTTTCCTTAGACAGAACTACCAAGACAAGTAATTTTAATAGGACAATAATTGACAACAACTATACCCGACAATAGCTATTAAATAGACATAAAAGAGAACACCAAAATATTTCACTAATAGAGGAAATATTACAAAGAGAGAAAGAATACAAATAGCCTTTAAAATAGAAGAAGGCTTATTTTTGTGGGATGATTAACTAAGGAGGAGGAGGGCTTTATTTATAACAAAAGAATTTCCCCTCCTCCTTATACACAACCAATGTGGGACTTTTGCCAAAAACCAACAAATCTCCACCTTGGCAAATTCCACACACATCTCTAAAAAACAATCTTTTAATTTGTAACAATATTGACCAAATCTAAACAATGTTTAAACTTGACCGCAGTTACCACTTTTGTCAACATATCAGCAGGATTCTCAGTGGTCCGAATCTTCTGGATTATGACTCCACCTTCTTCTAGAATCTCTCGTACAAAGTGATATCGAACATCAATATGCTTCGTCCTTGCATGGTAAACCTGGTTCTTTGCTAAATGAATAGCACTCTGACTGTCACAGTGCACTTTGATGTGCTTTTGTTCCATTCCCAATTCACCAAGCAACCCTTGAAGCCAAATTGCCTCCTTCACAGCCTCTGTAACTGCCATATACTCTGCCTCTGTAGTAGACAAAGCCACTGTTGACTGTAAGGTGGACTTCCAACTGACTGGTGCCTTTGCAAATGTAAACACATAACCAGTAGTTGATCGACGCTTGTCCAAATCACGTGCATAGTCTGAATCACAATACCCAACTACACACTGACCATCTTGTTTGTCCTGCTGAAAGACCAAACCAACATCTACGGTGTTTAGAATATACCGCAGAATCCATTTCACAGCTTGCCAATGCTCCTTTCCAGGATCATGCATATACCTGCTCACGACCCCAATTGCCTGTGAAATATCGGGTCTCGTACACACCATTGCATACATCAAGCTACCAACAGCACTTGCATACGGAACCTTTGACATGTATTCCCGTTCTGCATCATCCTTAGGTGACATGGATGCACCGAGCTTGAAATGAGGAGCAAGAGGTGTACTAACTGGTTTTGACATCTCATTTATGCCAAAACGTTTTAGTACCTTCCTCAGATATTCTTTCTGAGACAAACAAAGCCTCCCCAATTTCTTATCCCTTGATATCTCCATGCCTAGAATCTTCTTCGCTTCACCAAGATCCTTCATCTCAAACTCTCTGTTCAATTGAGTCTTTAGTTTCGCAATTTCTGTCTGACTCCTGGAAGCTATCAGCATATCATCAACATAAAGAAGAAGATATATATATGATCCGTCTTCTAGCTCACGTAAATACACACAATGATCATATTTGCTTCTTGTGTACTTCTGCCCTATCATAAACTTGTCAAATCGCTTGTACCACTGCCTTGGAGATTGCTTCAATCCGTACAGCGATTTTTCTAATTTGCACACCATCTCTTCTTTTTCAGCAACTTTGAATCCATCTGGCTGAGTCATGTAGATTTCCTCATCCAAGTCTCCATGTAAAAATGCAGTTTTTACATCCATCTGAACTAGTTCCAAATCCAACTGCGCTACCAAAGCCAACAAAATTCTGATGGAGGAATGTTTTACAACTGGAGAAAATACTTCATTATAATCAACTCCCTCCGTTTGAGCGTAGCCTTTAGCCACCAATCTTGCTTTGTAGCGGATGTTATTCTTGTCAGGAAATCCATCTTTCTTTGCATATACCCACTTGCACCCAATTGCCTTCTTTCCCTTCGGAAGACTAGCTAGTTTCCACGTCTGATTCTTTTGAAGGGATTGCATTTCTTCATTCATGGCAATCCTCCACTTTTTATGTTCTGAACTTTGAACTGCTTCATTAAAAGTGGCAGGAACGTCATCAATTGCAATTGGTGATGCAAAAGAGACCATATCAGCATAACGAGCAGGTTGTCTAATGGTCCTCTTTCCCTTTCTGAGTGCAATTGATTCATGTTGCTGTGGAGGTTCTTGGGTCTGAACCTCTTCTTCATCTGACTCTTCTTCTACCATAGGAGAGTCAACATCATTTCTTTACTGGTTGGGACAAATTTGCTTCCTTCAAACTCCACCTTTTTGGGAGTTCCATCTGTCTGCTCCAATTTTTCTGAAGTCACCTTCTCAACATGGTAGATTCATCAAAGGTAACATCCCTGCTGAAGATTATTTTCTTTGTTTCTGGACACCAAAGACGATAGCCTTTCACACCAGAGGTGATCCCCATAAAAATCGCCTTCTTTGCTCTTGGATCCAGCTTTGACTCCTTAACATGGTAGTATGCAGTGGAACCAAACACATGTAAGGAATCATAATCTGTAGCAGGTACTCCAAACCATTTCTCTAATGGTGTTTTACCACCAATAGCAGTCGATGGTAAGCGGTTGACAAGGTGACAAGCATAGACCAAAGCCTCAGCCCAAAATTCTTTGCCTAACCCAGCATTAGACAACATACACCGAACCTTCTCCACTAATGTCCGGTTCATACGCTCTGCCACTCCATTCTGTTGTGGTGTACCTCTGACAGTGAAGTGCCTAACAATACCTTCCTCTTCACAGACTTTCAGAAATGGATCATTTTTGTACTCTCCACCATTGTCTGTACGGAGACGTTTGATTTTTCTGCCTGTTTGAGTCTCCATCATCTTTTTCCATTTAAGGAAAAATCCTAGCACCTCATCCTTTGTCTTCATTGGATACACCCAAACTCTCCGGGAAAAATCATCAACAAAGGTGACATAATAGTGTGTTCCTCCCAATGAAGTTGTCTTGGAAGGCCCCCATACATCTGAATGAACATAATCCAAAATACCTTTAGTATCATGGATTGCTGTTCCAAATTTCACCCTCGTCTTCTTCCCTTTGATGCAATGCTCACAAAAAGCTAATTTGCAAGCCCGAGCACCCTTCAATAATCCTTGATCTATCAGTAATTTCAAGGATTTTTCACCAACATGCCCCAAGCGCATATGCCATAACCTGGTTGCTTCTGACTCCTGTTCATCAGTAGAAGCTGCCACTGCTGCTGTCCCAACAATTGTACTACCCAGAAAGTAATACACATTGTTTCTTTTTCGGATTCCCTTCATTATCACCAGTGCACCAGAGATAATCCTCATAATCCCATCTTTTGCCCTCACTTCTAAACCTTTTGACTCTAAGGTTCCCACAGAGATGAGATTTCTCATTAAATCTGGTACATAATGGACACCTGTTAAGGTTCTGATTGATCCATCCTGATTCCTCAAGCGAATTGAACCAATCCCAAGTGTGTCAAGAGGGGAATTATTTGCTGTGTAGACAATTCCACCTTTTAGTTCTTTAAAATCAAAGAACCATTCTCTATTGGGGGTCATATGGTGGCTACAAGCTGAATCTAACAGCCATGAACTGGAACAGCTGGTTGATGGCGTAGCAGCGAATGCGAAATCTGAATCTCCATCATCATACTCGACCACATTTGATTCTGAGACAGCCTTCCCCCTTTCAGGTTTGCCTTTATTCTTTAGCTTGGGACATTCTTTCTTCCAGTGCCCTTTTTCTCGACAAAAAGCACATTCATCTTTGCTCAATCTGGACTTTGACTTCGATCTCCCTCTGCTTCCTTTATTCTGACTCTTGGAACGGCCTCTAACAACAAGAGCTTCTGCTTCGACACTTGTGTTTTCTTGTTTGTCTTTCTTTCTCAATTCATAACTATACAAGGCAGCAGTTACTTCACTGAGAGACACATCAACCTTCCCATGAAGTAGAGTAGTTTCAAGATACTCAAACTCATCAGGAAGTGATCCCATCAACATCAGAGCCAGATCTTCGTCTTCAAAAGTCACGTCCATATTCATCAGATCAGTCACCAGCTGATTAAAGCTAGTAATGTGATCATTCATAGTGGTACCTGGTACATAGTTGAAGCGGAACAGTCTCTTTTTCATGTAGAGTTTGTTCTGACCGCTTTTCTTCAAAATTTCTCCTCCAGTGCCTTCCACAATTTACTTGCAGAAGTTTCCTTAGAAAATGCATACTTCTGCTCTCTAGAAAGACACGATCGAATAGTACCACATGCCATTCTATTGATCCTCTTCCATTCTTTCTCCTCAACATCATCTGGTTTCTCTCCTTCAATAGCAATGTCTAGACCCTGCTGAAATAGGGCATCTAGAACCTCGCTTTGCCACATGCCGAAATGACCGTGCCATCAAAAATCTCCACTGCAAATCTAACATTTGTCACAGCATTTCTTGCCAAAATTGAAGATGAAGAAGCGTCTGCCATTTCTGCTACAAATTCTATTTAATAGCTGCCAATGCAGAATGTCAATTATCCCAAGGAAATTTTTCTGATGTGGAAGATCAGCCTAAGCCGCAACCACAGAGCATACTAAAATAAACCAAGAGCTCTGATACCAATTGTTGTGAAATTCGGGTTAATTTCCACCAATAACAGATTCACCGTGAAAACTATTATCTAGGTGACTAGTGTGAAAACGATTGTACTAAAAATCACCCCAAGGTAGATTCCCAGGAAAGAGGAGGGGTCACAATGGTCCCTCTTAAAACCCACTTTCCTTAGACAGAACTACCAAGACAAGTAATTTTAATAGGACAATAATTGACAACAACTATACCCGACAATAGCTATTAAATAGACATAAAAGAGAACACCAAAATATTTCACTAATAGAGGAAATATTACAAAGAGAGAAAGAATACAAATAGCCTTTAAAATAGAAGAAGGCTTATTTTTGTGGGATGATTAACTAAGGAGGAGGAGGGCTTTATTTATAACAAAAGAATTTCCCCTCCTCCTTATACACAACCAATGTGGGACTTTTGCCAAAAACCAACACAGATGGACATGGCGACGACGACCATCATCATTAATTGCACTTTTCAGTTTGTTTTTCCATATTGGAATAATATTGGAGAGGATGGAACAAAGTCCAGTATACGGTGCATTGCACCTTCAAATGTTCAAAAACCTGTCATGTTTGGTTTCTGATTGGCCGTTGGTCTTGTTTAAGGTGGTTCTTTAGACGCAGTGTGATCATCTTTTTTTATCTGTGAATCTTCTTAGGTTTAACTTCATTGCTTTGCCAAATAATTTATGGCTACCGCCGTCATTATTTCATTGATCATGCTAAATTTCGAAGGAATCTTACAGGTTTCATCGCATTCAATCGGATTGGCTTCAGGCTAAGTAATTTTGGGTTTTTAAATTTTCAAAGTTATTTCCATGTTGGTGTTATTACGAGTTCAGGGTCACTTTACCTAAATTGTTACAACGTTAATGTGACGATGTTGTGACAATTTAGATATATTCGATAACAATTTAGATAATTTTGTGCTCAAAATATTACAAACTTTGAATTTCCAGTAAGTTAAAACTTTGAATCATGCTATTTCATCGTACTCTAATTTTTTTTTATTTGAGAAAATTATAGATTAATAATGAATCGTTTTCTTACTTTTCAAGTAAATATTGCTTTGCCGATTCGAACTAATAACATGATTCCGTCTCTAATGAACCAACCGTTCGTCATCAATTTTAGAGCAGGTGCTCGGGTAAGCTGGGGCCAGATTTGCTCCTTGAAATCTGAGGGAGGCCTGGGGCTAAGGAACCTGTTGGATTGGAGCAAAGCCTGTTGTTTATTGCTCATAAAGAAAATTTTAGCGGGGAAGGCTCACTCTGGATTGCCTGGATCAATGCATACTGTTTTAGAACTACTGACTTCTGGAATGTTGATTGCAAGATCCACTTCAGTTGGATTCTGGTTAAATTGCTTAAGCTAAGAAGTGAGGCTCTGAGTCTGTTCTGCTCTGGAAGTAACTGGGCTCAAATTAAGGTTAGTTGGATATGGGAAAAACATTCGTAGCAGATTTGTGAAGGTTAGCTGGCATCGTCTGGTGTGGTTTCCAGGCCACATTCCTAAATTCTCTTTGATTTCCTGGATGGCTATTTTAGACAGACTGCCCACAAAAGACAGGCTTGCAAAGTTTGGTCTGACTACTGATAATGCTTGTGGCTTATGTAATTCTGGTATTGAATCCCGCAATCACCTCTTTTCTGAGTGTTCATATGCAAAGAGTATTTGGTGTGCTGTTCTTCTCTCCTGTGGTCTTACCCAGGAGTCCCTAAGTTGGAGTGACAATCTCCAATGGCTGCTGCAGAACCTCAAAGGTAAATCTCTTCTGGTTCATTTACTCAAGCTGACTTGGACCGGATTTGTGTACTACACTTGGGAGGAACAGAATCATAGGCTCTTTAGAGGTTTGTCTCGTTCAAATGAAATTATTGTAAGTAGTATTAAGGATGCAGTGAGGATTAAATTGTACAGATCTCGTATGAACAGGCTTGATACTGTAAATTTGCAACTGTGTTCAAATTGGGGGTTGGTATAGCTGTATAGGGAATGTACAGGGGTATACGTTGTATAGCAATTTGTTTGCTTCTTTTTGGATGAATGAATTTTACTTGTCCAAAAAAAATGGTGTAGGGTATGGAATTCCCAACACATCTGCAACTTCTCCAACTTTTCCCTCGCTCAGTGTTTCTTCCATTTCTTCACACTCCCTTATCTCAAGAGACCTTAGATTTGGAACAAGAATCAGCCAGGTAACGTCCTTCAATTTGTCACAACATGAAATTACTTCATTCAATGTGTGGAAGCCAGAAGTATAATTATCGGAGAAATCCTGCCATGAAGTTTTTCCATTTTCATCTCCTCCATATATCTACAAAATTTAATATATAATGTCTCCAGACGCTCCATGTTTTCTAAACATAAAACATTTAACACACTTGTCTCTCCCCAAAATCGATCAACTCTAGTTCTTCGCTGCAGCATCGAAACAAGTGGAGGCGTAGAAAACTTTGTAGAGCAGACTTGCTTGTTATTGGTGGTATCCTTGGTATATTCAGATGTTGCAAAATTTTCAGTTCCTCTATAAGCTTTTCATAATCATTACGCCAATCCAGAATGTCGTAACCGGTTTTCACCCGGGCACGAAATTTTTTACTTGGAGGGAAAAGTGATGTGAATAAATGGTTTTTAAAATAATTTGGGAGTCGCCATCGGCCTTTTGGGTCAGGTAGGTCGAATACCTAAAAATTATCTTTTAACAGAATTTTTAAGAAAACATCAGTTAAAAGATGAACTGATCTGCGTTTATAACCAAAAATTCTTTCTTTTTAATAATAAAAAAGGATTCGTGGTCGGTTACGTTTAGGGAAGGATTAGCACCCCTACAACACCAAAAATTTGTACTTTTTAATTATAAATTGTCTCTATTTTTTAAAAATTCAAAATATATTTAATTTATAATCCTATTATTTCAAAATTATAATTATGAGAAAAAAATAATTTATATATATTTAAAAATAAATATTTATTTATTTAGAAATATCAGAAAATGACTTCTAGGTGCCTTAAGACAGCTCTTTTCTTCGATATTAATAAATATTAATATAATAATTTAAATAAAATTAAATTATTATTTTTTATAATATTTAATTTTAAAATACCAGAATAGGACATCCAGTTGTATTAAGACTGCCCTTTTCTTCGATATTGAAAAATAAATATTAAAATAATTTATGTAAAAAAATATAAATTATTATTTATTATATATATATATATATAACTACATAATAATAATAAAAATAACATTTAAATATATAAACAAGTAAAATTAAAAACAATAAAACTACAATTAGAACTATATATTTAAAAGCAGTAAAATAAAAGAAAATATTTAAAATTAGTGACTAGATTATAATAAAATTAAAATTCAATACCTAATTCATAACTAATTATTTAAAATTATAAGGATTAAACATGCTATTTTCCTTATTTATTAATTTAGTGACTAAAATAAAATTATAAAAATAAAGAGCAATAACTTAAAGGACTAACTTTAAAGAAATTAAAATTAAAGACAAATTAAAAATAATTATTGAATATAAAAAGGCTAAATTAAAATAAATAAAATATACAAAGTTAAAATTAAAGCATTCAGTAAAGGACTAAATTGAAAGAAATAAATAAAAATAACACCAAATTGTATTAGAAATAAATAACAAAAACATGAATGACCAAAATATAATCAACAAAAAATAGCATCCAAAATTAAAATATAACAAAATGCAAATATGATTGGAATGTAAACAAATAAATCTGCATGTCCGAAATTAAAATAAAATGAAGTGCAAGAGTAACCAAAATGTAGTTTGTGGCTAAAGTATGGGGACCTAAGTGATGGTTAGACCAAAAGTAGTTATCAGAACGCGAAAGGAGACTAAACAAGGAGGACTAACTTGCGAGTTTCCCCAAAATTTATATTAAACCCCCATTTTCATTCTGTTTCACTTTCAAACCCACCTAAACAATTCATGGGTCTTCCTCACGCAGCAGCCGCTCCCAACACAGCTCACCAATGTCGGCAGCAAACGCTCTCCGACCACCATCACCGGTGGTCGATCTACTTAGACAAACCCCCTATGACCCTAGAACTTTCTCTCCTTCAACTCTAAACTCAAAAATAAGACCTCTAATCCACATGCAAAACCTCATAACCACTAACCCGAATCCATATAGATCTCTATGACACCAACTCCGGCGAAGATATGACTCGAGCTAAGGTAAACGCATTCTTCTATTTTCTTATATTTTTTTATTTGAACATTGCTAAAAATAAGTATATAGAAAGTAAAAAAAAATGCTCACTGTTATATTTGGTATATTGCTTCGAAAAGGAAAAAAATGAGGAGGATCCCTCTTTTACATATTTGTTCTCTTCAAAAAATGGTGGCCGAGAGAAGAAGTGCCTCCTTTTTACATTGAGATTAGGGTTTTTATAACCCTTTACAATTATGAAAATAAAAATCTAAATTAGTTGTTGTTGTTTTCTGATTTGTTGATGAGGATGCTAGGACGTGGACGGTGCTCAGGAGTCCACAGGTGGAGCTGCCAGAAATTACTGGAATGTGGAGGGATAGATGGGTTGCTTGCTGGAAGTTACTGGATGGAGGGGGAACAACTGGTTTGGGAACTGCTGGTGTTTGTTAAAACGTGGAGGGGGCAGCTGTTCTTACTGGAAGCTGCTGAAACGTGGAAAAAGGGTAACCATGGGTTGCTGTCGGCGTGGAGTGGAAGCTGCTAAAATGCTAAAGTAAAAACAAAAATGGTGATTACAGCTGCCCCTCTTTTCTTGTTACTGTGGAACAGGAATAGAGCAAAGACATAAAGCACCATTTTTTGTTTGAACTATTCAAACTTCTGAGCTAGAAGTTATATTCTTCTTATTACGAACTTTTTCTAGAAATGTTGATCCTCAAAAGAGGTGTTGTTGATTCAACTTCATATGTGATTAATTAAGGCAATGTTGAACAAGTTCTTCTCATTATGAACTCCCTCTTCCTTTTCAGATGAGTTCTTCTCATTATGAACTCTTTCTGGAAATGTTGATGCTGATATATCTCTTTCTGTGATAGAATCACGCAAAATGTTGAACAAGTTCTTCTCTTCAGATGAATTCTTCTCATTATGAACACTTCTGGAAATGTTGATGATGATCTATCTCCTTATGTGATAGCGTCGAGCAAAAGGTTAAACAAGTTCTTCTCCTTCTTCAGATGAGTTCTTCTCATTATGAACTCCTTCTGGAAATGTTGATCTTCAAAAGAGGGATTATTGATTCAGCTTCATATGTGATGAATTAAAGCAAGGTTGAACAAATTCTTCTTATTATGAACTTTTTCTCCTTCTTCAGATGAGTTCTTCTTATTATGAACACTTCTGGAAATATTGATAATGATCCATCTCTTTCTATGATAGAGTCATGCAAAAGGCTGAACAAGTTCTTCTCATTATGAACTTCTTCTTCCTCTTCAGATAAGTTCTTCTCATTATGAACTTTCTTCGGAAAAGTTAATTCATCAAGTGATGAATTCAGGCAAAAGGTTGAACAAATTCTTCTCATTATGAATTTCTTCTTCCTCTTCAGATAAGTTCTTCTCATTATGAACTTTCTCTGGAAATATTGATCTATCAAGTGATGAATTAGAGCAAAAAGTTGAACAAGCTCTTCTCATTATGAACTTCTTATTCTTTCTTCAGATGAGTTCTTCTTATTATGAACTCGCCCTGGCAATGCTGGTCCATCGAATGATAAATTCAAGCGAAAAGTTGAACAAGTTCTTCTCATTATGAACTTATTCTTCCTTCTTCAGATGAGTTCTTCTCATTATGAACTCTTCTAGAAATGTTGATCCATTGAATGATGGATTTGAACTTTGCTAAAATCTTTGAAATTCCTGTCAAATATTCAACATGGATAAAATGAATGAAAATGCTCCTATTTTGCAAATGTCTAAATATGATGCATGAATGTTGATGCAATCTTCATTTGACTTCAAAATGGTGAACTCGGTTTTCCTCCACTTCATCATTTATTGCCAGGGTCACCTCTGGATATCAGTGTAGCAACTTATGCTATCAAGCTTGCATTTCTGAAGAACCATCTGATCAACTTGTATCTTTATGTCTTCTTTGATTCATGAAAGTCTCAGAAGAATTGTTTCATTTGTGGAACTCTTGTCGTAGTCAGAACTATGACCTTGATGCCCCATTTTGTCTTGGATAAAACCAACTTTCTTTGCTTGGAGTTGTGCAGAAATCCGATAAAGCTTTCATCTTTGAAAAGAGAATCTGTCATCTTTAAAAAGGGAATCTATCATCTTTGAAGAGTGTAGATGTATATATGCCTGACTCAGCAAGGATTAATTGGGAGAGTAGAGTCTGTTCTGTTTTAACTCTTGAAACACATCACAAGGAAGATTTATTCCAATTCCTTTCATGTTTCCATATATAATCAGATCTCGAATAAGGCAACTTGGATCATATCATATCGAGATGCTTAACAACAACATGTCATTCAACCTTAGTTGGTACTACTAGTTTCTTGTTTAAAATTTCAATTCTCCTTCTGTGGAAAGAAATCTTCATCTTGTATAAATAAAGGAAAACCATATGATAACAACATTGGTTTAACACCATAATCACTGGTTCATAAAACATTTGACAACAAATTCTTCATCTCCTGAGGCTTCTGCTCGAATTACTGGTCAATAAAGCTCTTTGCATGGTTTTCAAAGTTTTTGTATGATGTCACAAAACCACTTGAGAACAAAACTCAGTGGGAATACAGGTGAAATACTGGTATGACCAAAAAAATAATTGGTCAAATTCACAAAATGTGCTGGTGTCGAATTGAATATGAGACACTAATTGATCTCGATATCATCCTGGGCAAGGGAAAATGTAATACTGATCACGTTTTCTTCTGTAATGAGCATTGTAGAAAGTAGAAATACTTCAGCTATAGGATCCATGTACAGAAAGATATCTGTGGAATTCTTGCTGCTGGGGATGAAACGCACATGATAAAACCCAAAATAGATAAAAATTCAGTTCAGTCCTGGCTGGCAATGAAAACCCCAGTAACAACGGGAATAACAGTAATATAAGTGAATCGAGTCTCCCTTTCCAATGTCATCGATTAAGCGAAAACTATTGTGAAAAACAGCTTCGTAATTCCAACAGTATGGTATGAAACTAACTGCCAGGAAATCTCAAAGAAATATTTTCAATTGTCACCGAAACAGAGAATACAAAATTCAAAGCTGAGATCTCGAGGAACTGAACCCTGGATCGAATAGTCTGCATGGGGACCATCTTTATTCATGCAACCATGATGTAGCTTAACAAAGAACACGTTGTCATGTGATACATGGTTAAGAAGATTGGGTACTTGAAACCATACTTGCTGAGTAGATATTTGTTCAACAACATGATCATAATATAACTGCTTGATGAACGAAGCAATTATGTATAGTCAGCTCGACTATCACTGTTTCACCATTTTCATTCTTCACACATTTCTGTCTCATTGGAAATATTTGTTCAAGTCAATGATCTTGACACAAGATGTTGTGGGCCTTCAGCATGCCCCAACATTGGCTAATACAAGTGTTCAAAATGCATCAACAGTTCTGATTCTGATTGAAATGGGCTTTCAGCATGCCCCAGCATTTTGCTGATTCAACTCTCAATGTATGTTTTACTGGAATATCATGATCCTCATGAGGTCCAATTTTGACAATGCAATGTGGTGCTTGTAGCTTTCTTCATGCCCCAAATCTGTTTATCTTGAATACTCTCATTCAGGTGTCACTAAACAGTAGTATTGTCAAGTAAGTGGAGGAAATCTCTTCATGTTGTCACAAACTTAAGAACTATTCCATCATTCTGACAGAAACGTCTGAGATATGTGTCTTCTAAATGAGGTGATCATTTTCTGTATCTGGAGGGATTTAGTCAGACAGAGCAGTGAAAATAGCTTGGTAATTCGTTCCAGGCTGACACAGTGGCTTATCATCTTTCAGTGAAAGCCATCTCTGAAATATACTTTTCTGTGGGAGAGAAACCAATTTATGCAAACAATAATCTGATGCAATAACAAGACTACATATACAGTGGTACAGGCTTTTCAAAAATCTACACCCATGCAACATGTTGATTCTAATAATAACTCATCTGATTATGAAGCGATCTTTCAGGATAATTTCACAGATATTGATAGTTCTTTCTGATACCGAGGAAATCATGAATTCTGATTCTGATGAGGAGAATAAATTGTTATATTTGACGAAAATGGGATTCTCAGAGGCTGAGGTTTCAATAGCCATGAAGAGATGTGGTTCAGATTCATCAATTGCAGAATTGACAGATTTTATATGTGCTGATCAAATGGCTAAGGCTACTGACACACTTCTTCCGGTAGAAGATAGGAAGCCATTATGCAATGATCCCAATTACAGGAAAAAGTGAAACTCGGGCAATGATTTGTGGAAAAGGAGGAAGTAGAGGAAGCTTGAAAAAAACGCTTCTTAATGAAGACGATCATGCAGTTCATCTTTCAACTCCAATGATTGGTTCTGAGGTTCCTACCGAACCAGATCAGATAACTCAAAGAACACTTCCAGAAGATGCCATTGAGTCTCCTTATTTCTACTATGAGTACATGGATCTTTCAAATCTAATGATTGATTTTGGGGTTCATACCAAATCAGATCAGATAACTCAAAGAACACCTCCAGAAAATGCTATTGGACCTCTTTATTTCTACCATGAGCATATGGATCTTTCAATTCCAATGATTGATTTTGGGGTTCATACCAAATCAGATCAGATAACTCAAAAAACACTTCCAGAAGATGCTATTGGGTCTTCTTATTTCTACTATGAGCACATGGATCTTTCAAATCCAATGATTGGTTTTTGGGGTTCATACCAAACCAGATCAGATAACTCAAAGAACACTTCCAGAAGATGCTATTGGGTCTTCTACTATGAGCACATGGCACTTGCTCCAATTAATGTTTGGACTGGAATATCATAGTACTTATTTGATGTAGAGCCAGAATTTGTAGATTCGAAGCATTTTCATGCTACTACAATGAAAAGGGCTACATTCATAATTCTGCCAATTGAGAACAGATTTTCTCTTATTCTGCTTCCTCCATGTGCTGATGTTTTTCCATTGACAAAGAAATGATGACCTTCCTTCGAGTGTCCAGAAGTATGTTCTTGATGAGTGCTGAAAATGGAATCTGGTATGGGTTGAAAGGAATAAAATTGTTCCACTTGAATCTGATGAGGTGGAAATGCTTCTAGTTTTCCCTAAAAACCATACACAAGGATCTGTATAGAGACATGTTCCATGGTGGTATCAATGTCCTGTCTCTTTTCTCTGGGATCAATGATGCAGAAGTTGCCTTTTACTGTCTTGGCATACTTTTGAAAATAGATGTGCAAGAACTGAATGATGATCGGTTGGAGCAATTGATGAGTAGTTTTGTCGAATTCGACCTTGTTGTAAGTGGCATCCAGCGTAACAACCTTACTGGAAGAAATAAACATCATTGTGATGGGCTTGAAGATTTTTGTTGGTGCATTTACTTGCAATGATTGCTACAACAAACTGTCTCTTCTGCTGCTTCAATATATCCCACTCTTTTCAAATTATGGAACGGTTTAGTTGACAGTAAAATTTTTCATCTTCAACTTTTGGAATCCTGTAACCAATGTTACCCTATATAAAAGGCCTATAAGGGTAGATTCTGTTCCAATGTCTTATTCTGTGCCATAAGTCCTCAAATTCAAATTCAGCAATCTTCTGAAGGACATAATGAATATCATCTTGACAAAGAAAATGATCAGCATAGAAGAAGTAGCAATAATGTATCAAGACTTGAGCCAGCATCACGGTATAACCAGAGTGCAGGTAGTGACTTGTTCATGGCTTTATGATGTAATCTTCTAGAGAACATGAATTGATGGTTGGGGAAAATAATATGTCTGGTGATTCTTATTGCCCTCAGCATGAGATAAACGATAATCTTTCTTGATGAATTGCTAATGTCATAGGAGAGTGTCACAAGTTCAATTCTCCAGACTTTCTAGCTTCTTGGACCACTTGCCTTCAAAAATGTGAAGCGCTTCATTCTTCTGGCTTCGTTCATTCTTTTTCTACAACAGAGGTAGAATAAGCAACAATTGCTTTAAGGACCTTCCTCATTTGAGACTGTACTGTTTGAAAATGTTTTTTCTCCTTTCTTTATTGAAGAATGAAAGAATTTTGCAAAGTATTACCCCTTTCAGGTTCACAATATAATCGAATCATAAACAATGAGTTTAATGAATATCAAATAAATCAACTACACTTTTAAATCATTCAAAAATCATAGTTCTATGGCAAGTGTCAAAATTATTGACTGATTTGAGGTGTAGGTTGATTTTGGTAAAGTAGGTTCTTTCAAGTTGGTTCAGTATGTCGCTTCGGGCTTCCACTAACTTGAAGAAATGGTTGTTATGCTCATCTTGTAGAGATGCTTCTCGTTTCCAGAATCTCAGGAACGTTTTTGAGATGTGTGGTGCTTCATTAAGAGCTTAAGATCGTCTCTTATGTCGTTGTTGCACCATTCAATATTCGAGCCGCCTTTTCAGGTTTTCAACTCGAATCCTCCTTTGGTTTCAAAGATGTTTTTTTAAAAATTTATATGTTGAACCCTCCTTTTATCATTTTTCATATCATGCATTAAAGATTTTAAAAACCAATTTTTGCAAATAAAAATCAATCTTGAGAGGCAGAATGAATTCTGAAGATATTCTCTTTTACTTAGAAATCCATGTACGATTAAAATGGACTTTTCAGGTACGTAACGTAGGCCATGGCTTATGGTTATGAAAAAAAGGGATAAAAAGGCCCAAATAAGTGTTTAAGGGTCATCAAACCAAGGATCAATTTATTCTGATACCATCAATCTTGTTTTGTTTGACTTTGATCTGCCTTGCTGGGGAATTTTCCATCAACTGAATCCCTCTAGACTGCCAAATTTTGGATTCATTTTTATTTTCTCATATCTCCAGCATTTCTTACTCTTCTTGTTTGTACTTGATCAACCTTGTAACTTGAGGCTCAATAAGTCACCCATCTTGATTCAATTTTCCTT